GCTTTTTCGTTTATTATGTCCGACAAATTCATATAAATCTAAAATTTATCTGATTTATCATATGCTATATAATTTACACGAATAATAAAAATTAATTTTACACTTAAATATATTGAAATAAATAACATTTTTATATGTTCTGATCAATTGCACATAAAAATATTAAAACTGATGGCATCAAATATGTTTGACTAAAATTTAATTTGATTATACTTATCCACAATGCATATCAATTTGTAAGTTTATAAATATTTGAAATCATATGATTTGTCAGACACATTTACATATTAAAATATATTTATTCATTTAATCCCACGCTTAGCGTGGGTCAAAATCTAGTTTTAATTAAAGGAAATTGTTACTATGACATGATGGCTCAAGTACAATCAAGTATGTAATAACCAAATATCCCATTTTAAGTGTGTAAAAAAGATTTGTTATTATTACTCTATAAAAACTTCCTACCTGTCACTTACTCATTACTCAAAAACATATCTTTTATTTGATTTTAAAATTAGACTCTAATTTTGTCTTATTAATTTTATTTTGCTATCTATTACATATGTACTAAAGAGAAAAATACATTATTTTTTTATTTTTATTTTTGGGTCACTATCTTTAAATACATTAAAAAAATTTAGAAAATACATTATAGAAAAATACTCTATAAATACATTATCTTTTTCTAGAAAAATACATTTCTAGAAAAATACATTATCTAGAAATTGAATCTAAAGCATTAGACCAAACAAGACTTTTAAACATGGGCTCTAAATTAAAACAATTTGACATTAAGGAAAATGATAATAACGAACTCACTAAACATAACATGGGCCAAGATTTGGATATGGGCTTTAAATTAAAGCCTTGACGATCTAAACGATCTCCAGCAAATTCTCTCTTCCCTCGTTGTCACGTCGAACAAAAACATATTTCCGATGAAACTCTCTCTCTCTGGTTAGCCCTAAAGAATTAACCGGAATCTGAAATCAATATCGTGAGTTTTTTTTTGTTTTTGGTTTGGTTAACTTTTCTGCCTAGATTTTGCGTTTGTATTCGAATTTAAACTTTAATTAAAGTCAAATGATCATATGAAATTTCGATTCAAAGTCTACGTCTTTGTGTTAATTCCAATCCCGCACTGAAGAAGAATTTCGAATAATCACACCCACAAATGTTTAATGGTCATGCTAAAACCTGATCTGATTTGGTTGTATTGAATCAATAAAAATGATCAAATCTCTAAGTCCAGGACCGTAATAAGTGAGGAGATAGAGGGGTAATATTGGAATTTCATAGATTGAAAAACTGTCACCGTCTGATTTTTTTGATTGCCCCCGACTCGTCTTCAGATCCGAGTTTGTGAGAAGCTCTCTTTCTCTCTGTCCCTTATCTTCTCCCACAAGAAGAAGA